GGTCTCCCGGTGAGCACTCACAGTGCTGTGCAGTGGGCCGCAGTCAGCACCCACTGGGGGTGGATGAGGGAGCCCCCGCAGCTGTGCTCCCACTGGTCCCGCTCCTTGCTGAAGGTCCTGAGGCTGACCTGCCACGGCCACTTCCCGGGAGGGGCACTGTGGCCCCCTACGGTGTGCGCCCACTCAGTTCCTGACCTGGGATCTGGAGATGTGGCGAGAGGGGCTGTGAGGGGCCCAGGAGCCCTGCCCGGAGTCAGCGTGGCCTCCCCCATGCCGTCCCCCAGAGCCCAGGGTGAGCAGGCGGCTCCCAGGGGCTGGTCAGCACCCACCCACCGGAGTCAGCGCAGGCCTGGGATTGGGGGCAGGTCCCAGGACACTGGGAGCATTGGATGGGGCCAAGACTTACCGGGGAACATGGGCACGGAGCCCCCCAGGTGGGGCAGGGGCAGGAACAGCAACCACAGCATCTGCAGGGCTGGGGGGAGCACAGGGCTGGGTGAGGGGTGCTGGGACCGGGACCCCGGGGTCTGGGATGGGTGGGGGTGCTGGGAGGCCTGAGAGGAACCTGGCACTGCCTTCCCGGCCTCTCTGCCCTCTGCAGCCTTGAGCCCCCTTTATCCTCTCAGCCCAGGAAGTGGGCGGGGCCTTATACCTGGTGGCAGGGCCTGTGCACCCTTGGGCGGGGCTTCCCTCCTCCCAAGTCAGTCCATCAACGTCTCAGCTGGGATCTGCACCAGGCCTGGTAGAGGCTTATGGTGGAGGTGGCAACATTGATACTGAATGGGGCATTTGGAGGCGTGCTCAACACCATGGGAGATGCCCGGGCTGGGCCAGGCTGCCGATGCTCAGGAAAGCCCCCTCCCGGCAGGAGCCAGCCCGGCACAGCCAGGGCTGACCTGGGCTCCATCTCCGTGGTATGCGGTCCAGGTCCTCCCTGGGAGGCGGGGCCGGGCGTGGGCTGCTGCCTCCTCCTGTGGGCCTGGCACAGAGCCCATGGCTCCCACCTACCAGGGAGAGCTGCAGGGCCCGGCTTGGTGAGAGGCGGAGGCAGCCAATCGGGGGACAGGGCCCCTTGGTGGGAGAGCCTGCAGGCAGGACTGGGCAGGGACAGCGGGTTCCCACACTCTTCCTGCCTCTTTCGGGACACCGGGCAATGATGGGCCCTGGAGAAGAAGGCTCCCTGGCTTCCTCAGCAGTCAGCCCTGGGAGCCCAAGGGCCAGGACTGGTGAGATCTCTGAGGAGGTGGTGCTCCACCTCATCCCCCCCAGCCAGAGAGGAAGCAAAGAAGGGACTGTCAGCCGGGTGCAGTGGCTCACGCCTGTAATCCCAGCACTTAGGGAGGCCAAGGTGGGTGGATCACCTGAGGTCAAGAGTTCAAGACCAGCCTGGCCAACAGGGTGAAACCCTGTCTCTACTAAAAATACAAAAATTAGCCTGGCGTGATGGCAGGCCCCGGTAATCCCTGCTATTGGGGAGGTTGAGGCAGCAGAATTGCTTGAACATGGAGGTTGCAGTGAGCCAAGATCGCAACACTGCACTCCAGCCTGGGTGACAGAGCAAGACTCCATCTCAAAAAAAAAAAAGGGGGGGGATTATCACCATGACTGGGGAGTTCCCTGTTCCTGGGAGACGCCCCCAATCAGCAGTGCACCTGGGAGCTGAGGGAACAGGGTGGAGAACGCCAGTGGGCAGTGTCCGACCTGGCCACCTGTGAGTGCCGACCCTGCCACTGCTGGGCCCCACCCAAACCAGTGACCACCTGAGCAGAGAGCCTCCACCCCTGCCAAGACCCTCAGGGGGGCTCCCCATACTCCAAAAACCTCACATGCCCAGGGTGGTCCTGCCATAGACCCTACGTTGGGAAGACAGGGCCCTGGTGACTGTCCTTTGGAAGACCCCAATGTTCAATGTACAGGGAGGGGTTCCTGGGGGGCCCGTGTCCAACAGCTCCTCATGGGGCTCACGTTGTAGTTTTACGTTTTTTTTTCCCTGCTCCGTCACCCAGGCTGGAGTGTAGGGACATGATCTCGGCTCATTGCAAACCTCCACCCCCCGGGTTCAAGCAGTTCTCCTGCCTCAGCCTCCCGAGTAGCTGGTATTACAGGCGCGCGCCACCACTCCCCCCTAATTTTTGTATTTTTAGTAGAGACGGGGTTTCACGGTGTTGGCCAGGCCGGTCTCGATCTCTTGACCTCGTGATCCGCCCACCTCGGCCTCCCGAAGTGCTGGGATTACAGGCGTGGGCCACCGCGCCCGGCCTGCTCTTTTTGTTTTTTATTGTTAATATGGGCTTTTTTAAACAGCTTTATTGAGACTGAGTTCACAAAAAACTACAATCCAGACATGTAAAAGGTGCAGCTCCGTAGGTTTTCGTGCATTCAGACACGCGGCTATCATCATTCCCAATCTTTCGGCATTTTTGTCGCTCTGAAAAGAATCCCACACCCGTCGGCTGCCGCCTCCTGTCCCTGTCACTCCCCTCCCCCGGCCCCACGAACCTTCTGTCTGCCTCTACGGATTTCCCTGTTCCAACATGTCACTCAACGTACGGCCAAGGTGCCCGGCTCTTCCCACGAAGCGAGTGGGAGAATTTTAGGCTCTTTCCCTGTGTGGTGCCCTGCCCTGCCCCAGGGAGCCGGCTCAGCCCCAGGCCTTCCTGTCAGCAAAGACCTCCTGGAGACAGCTCGCCTGGCCTGGGAGGAGGCCTGGGCCACCTGTGCCTGGAGGGGTGGGTGGGGTCCTAGCCGGCTCCAGAGGCCGCAGCAGTGCCACAGCCCGGTGGCACATACACAGCAGGGATTCATTCCTGACGCCCCAGAGGATGGAGGTCCCAGATCAGGGAGCCAGCGTGGTTGGTGGCTGGTGAGGGCCCACACCCTGGTTCAGAGACAGTGCCTTCTCTCTGCGGCCTCCAGTGCCGGGAGGGTGAGCGAGCTCTCTGGGGTCCCGCCTCTGAGGGCTTCACTTCCTGAAGCACCCTCCTCCTGATACCATCACGCAGAGGGTTAGGGCTTCACCATCTGGATTTGGAGGGGGCGCACAGCAGGCCTCCAGCAGTGGGAAAGGGGCTTGCTTTCTCCATGCCTGGGGTGCAGGGCGGTGTCTGTGCACCCCTCCGTGAGCCTTGTATTCCCGACTTATGATGTATCTGGGATACAGGGGCGGGCGTGGGGAGTGGGAAGAAATGGCCGTGAGAGGCCCTGGGAGCTGACGCGGCAGAGGCTCCAGCTCTCTCCAAAAGATTTCTTTGCACGGTAGGAGGGAGGTCAGCTCTGGAGCCTTCTGATTTGGAATTGCCACGTGGGCTCCCAAAGTGACATTTTGGCACTGGTGGGTGGGGACTGGTGTTGGGGCAGGTCCCACAAAGCTGGGCTCTGCCTGAGACTCTTGGGGCCTGCACAGGAGGGTACCCCCAGGATGCCCGCAGGGGCCGTCTAGTCTGCGGGGCGGACATCCTGCAGGTCGACGGGGAGGGAGTGGCTCTCCGGGCCTGACGTGGCCCCACCTGCCTGTCTGAACACCCATGCTCTGCCGGCTCAGCAGCCCCAGCACCCACTTCTGAGCTCTGGGTTCAAACAGCTTAATCAGATGGCGGCAACCAAGAGTGTCGCTCAGCTGCCCCCAGCCCCTGCCCCAGGCCACCGCATTGCATCACCGAAGAGTCTAGGAGCCACAACCACCCCACCCAGCGTGAGGCCGATGCAGCCCCAGGTACGGGGACAGGACCCCTCGGCCCGACTCAGGCAGAGAGCAGGTTCTTCCCACTAAAGCCCTTTGTCCCAGACGTTCCCAGGGGACAAGGGGCCAGGGTGGGGCCTGGAATCAGGTAGAGAACAGGCAGGTTACGGATGGGGGCCCTGAGCCCCCCGCCCCTCCCCACTGTGCTGCCCCCACCCCCCAGGGCCCTCTCCATCCCAGGGCCCTCTCCACCCCCCAGGGCCCTCTCCACCCCAGAACCCCCTCCACCCCAGGACCTCTCCACCCCAGGGCCCTCTCCACCCCAGGACCTCTCCACCCCAGGGCCCTCTCCAGCACCCTAGAACCCTCTGCTTCCACCAGCATCCCCCAAAAATCTCGGGCTCCGGGCACTCAGAGGCACCTCCATATGCCCCAGGCCAGTTGTCCAGGGTGACCAGCAGAAGGCGTTACAGCCAGAAAATCCAGAGGCACCCATGGGACCCTTGCTTCCCAGGAAAGCTGTGGCTGTCATGGGAGTCTGTGGCCCCATGTAGCCTCTGCTGGAAGCACCTCCGGGGTTGCAAATCTGGGGTCACATTTGCAGAACCCAAACCAGAGAAACTTGACTTAGGACTTCTGTGTTTTTGTTTGAGGAGTGTCACTCTTGTCGCCCTGGCTGGAGTGCACGGCGTGATCTCCACCTCCCGGGTTCAAGCGATTCTCCTGGCTCAGCCTCCTGAGTAGCTGGGACTACCGGCCACGCCCGGCTATTTTTGTATTTTTAGTAGAGACGGGGAATTCACCATGTCGGCCAGGACGGTCTCGATCTCTTGACCTGGTCATCTGCCCACCTCATCCTCCCAAAGTGTTGGGATTACAGGCGTGAGCCGCCACACCCAGCCAATTTAGGACTTTTGAAATTCAAAAAAGAGGAATTTGTGCCAGAAAAGGAGAAAGCCTAGAGCTGGCCGGGAACCCTGTCCGGGAGTGGAGGGCCAGGCGCATGGGGACCAGCGCACGGCGCCAGCGGCTCTCAGGGCCGCATCTTGCGGGAGCAGGAGGACCCTGCTGGTGGGAAGGGGCCTGGGGGCTCTAGGAGGGAGGTAGCTTTGGGAAGGGGACGGAGGGAGAAGTCGGTCAGCCTGGGACTGGCGCTCCAGTGTCAATGGCCCTGACAGACGTGAGTGGACCCCTCGCAGCCCTAGCGTCCATCCCTCTCCTGCCTGGCCTGAGAGAGACCGAGGCCTGCAGCCAAGCCCGGCCAGCCCCCTCGGTGACCCCCAGCTGCTCCCACAGTCCAGACACACGCCACAGACCCGGAGCCATTTCCACACCGTTTAATAGTCAAGTCACAAGCAGTCGCCTGGGATGGCCAGGGTTTTGTTCCCACGCCCGGCTCATCTCCCCTCCCCTGCTCCCCAGCCCCCTGCCGGCAGGAAAACGCCTGAGAAGCTGGAGAGGAGCAGAAGGCTCTCAGGGTGCGGACCTGTGGGAGGCCGAGGCTGGGACTGGGGAGCAGCAGGGGTGTCCACAAGGATGACGGGGTCTCCGGGAGTGTGCAGACCCCACTGCACCCCAGCTAGGGTCCAGGGAACCGAGGGACGTACTGGCGGATCCAGGACAGGTAGCTCATCACGCGGGTGTACACGCCGGGGTACCCTTTGCCGCAGAGGTAGCCCCAGCTCACAACCCCCACCTGGACCCAGGAGCAATTCCACCTGCACACCAGGGGGCCCCCAGAGTCACCCTGTGGGGAGAGACAGCACTCAGCAAAGCCCCCAAGTGCACCCACAGCGATGGGGCGGGTGGGCGGGGGACCGAGGAGGCAGGGCAGGACTGGGGTCCCACCTGGCAGGAGTCCCGGCCCTCACTCCCCGCACACAGCATGTCGTCTTGGATGACCCTGCCGGTGCTGTCCAGGGACTGGTTCCGGTACTCCCCGTCACACTCCTCGTTCCCCACGATGGGGACGTCCACCTCCTGCAGCTGGTAGGGCCAGGGCAGCGGCCCTGCGGGGAGAACGTGGACCTGAGCCTCTTCCCTACAGCAGAGACCTCATTCCACCCCATGCGGGCCTCCCTGACGTTCAGCAGAGGATGTAGAGGAGCCCCCACCCCCAAATCCTGACCCAGTGACTCAGTTTCCCCAAGTCCACTAGAGTCAGGATCTGCCTACACGACCACTGAGGGTCTGGATGCCAGCCCAGCGCCAGGACACAGGGCTCCTCTCGGAAGCAGGGCAAAGCCGCGGGCTCGGGACCCCAGACAGACCCTCCGTCCACAGCGGAGCAGCCCAGCCTCGGCTGCCGTTGGCAGAGTGGAGCCGGGGAATGCCGGGTCTGTAGCAGCAGCTGGAGCCGCCTGCCCAGAGCGAGTCCCGGTCCCTGACGTCTGTTACAGAAGCACCCTGTCCAAAACCCGGGCACCATGATCACTGGCTCGCAAAGGGGGTCCCAGAGGACACAGAGTGAGGGGTTTTCCGCAAGACCCAGCCCCCTCATCCCTCCCCAGCAAGCCTCCCTGATACACACGGTTGCCCGCGATGTCACCCCAGCCGGTCACCCAGCAGGTCTTCCCCGAGGGGACGTCCAGGGAGGCAGGCGGGAGCGAGACGGGGTGGACCCGCTCGGACAGCGGCACGGGGGCCTCCAGCTTCAGCAGGGCGATGTCCGCGCCGCCCCGGGCAGCCAGGCTCTCATTGTACTGGGGGTGGCGGAGGATCTCGGCCACCTTCGTCTGCTGGTCGTCCGCATAGAGCCTCAGCTGCCCGACCTGCACCCTAAACGCACAGGCCTCCAGCTCCTCCCTGGGGAGAGGAGCAGGCGCTCTCAGAGTGAGGCTGGGCTTCCCCTGCATCCTGGGAGGGGCCCCCGGCACACCGGACACCTGCCTGTCCCCACCCCCACTCCCACCCGCCGAGGGGAAGGCAAGCCACACTCACGGCCCAAGGCAGTGGGCAGCGGTCAGCACCCACTTGCGGTGGATGAGGGAGCCCCCGCAGATGTGCTCCCACTTGCCCTTCTTCATGCTGTAGAACCTCAGGCTGACCTGCCAGGGGTACCTCCTGGCCGAGACGTCGCAGCCCCCGACGATGCCCACCTGCTCACGCCCCGCACCGGGCTCTGGGGAGGCAAGGGAGGGCCRTGAGGGGGCTGGACGAGGGTCTTCCCAGAGCTCAGGACACCAGGACAGACCGGCAACCAGACGGTCCTCTCAGCCCCCAGGGCTGGCGCTCTGAGCCCGGGGCAGGACAGGGACGGGGTCCTGGGCATCGGGGCATCGGGTGGGGTGGACTCGACTGGGTTCCCGGGCACAGCGCCCCCCAGGCAGGGGAGGGTCAGGAGCAGCAGCCACAGCATCTGTGGGGAGAAACCCGGGGCCTGGGGTGAGGCGACTTGAGCCCCAGCTGGGTTCTGGGAATGGAGAGGGGGTTCGGAGTGGGCTGCGCCCTCCTGCCCCAGGTTTCTCCGCCTCCTCCCCGCCTGCCTCAGAGCCCATTTATCTCTCAGACAGAGGAAGTAGGCGGGCAGGGCAGCCCCTCCTGGGCACACTCAGGAACAGACCTCAGAGTGCTGAGGGCAGATAGGACCAAGCGCTGAGCTCCACCCGGTGGGACCGGGTCCCGGGCACAGAAACACTGCATGAACCACGGCCACCCCTGAGGGGGGTTCTGAGAAATGGTCAACGCAGCGAAAGGAGCAGTGGCAGCATCCCAGCTGGGGAGGGAGGGGCGCGCCTTCTTCAGGACGGCCACCCCTCTTCTCCAGCCAGCTCCCCTCCCTCACCCTCACCTGGGACACCCACCGTTCTGGGGAATGAAGGATTCACTTCCTGGCACCTGGAGCCCGTTCTTCTCCCTGGCCCAAAATGTCCACCTCCCCAAAATAACACGCGATGGCTGGGGGTGGCCAGAACCAGATCCAGAACAGGGTGCGAGTCGCGAGCCCAGGGCACCACCAGCGGCCTCGGTCCACTGACCTCTCTCTAGGACCTTCTGCTGCCTGGAGGTGCTGGGGTGGAGGCAAGAACTCATGACCCAGCTGGGCATGGTGGCTCACGCCTGGAATCCCAGCACGTTAGGAGGCCAAGGTGGGTGAATCACAAGGTCAGGAGTTCGAGACCAGCCTGGGAAAAATGGTGAAACCCCGTGTCTACTAAAAATACAAAAATTAGCCAGGTGTGGTGGTGGGCGCCTGTCATCCCAGCCACTCAGGAGGCTGAGGCAGGAGACTCGCTTGAACCCGGGAGGCAGAGGTTGCGGTGAGTGGAGATTGCACCACTGCACTCCAGCCTGGGTGACAGAGCGAGACTCTGTCCCAAAAAAAAGAGAGCGAGAAAACAGAAAAAGAAAACATGGCCCAGCCTGGACTTGTCAGCAGCTCTGAGGAATGAGGGACTTGACAATCCCCTTTAATCTGTCTCTGAGACCCTGAAGGACCCCGGTATTTCGTGCTCCCCACGGAAGAGGATGGTGAGGACCCAGGAGCCCTCTACCGCCAGCCCCCAGCACCCGTGTCCCCGGACATCTGGATGCTGCTGGAGGCGACTCACAGTGCTAGACCCCACCTGGCCACTCTCGGCCTCACCCCACACCCTTCTTGGCCCCGCAGACGGAGATGAAGGAGGCAGCGGAACCACAGACCTTCCCCAACCCCAGCCCGGCCCTGCCCCGGCCATGTGGCATCACAGCTTGCCCGAGGGCAGCAGCCCCCAGCGAAGATGCTGAGGGGCCGAAGCCACCTGAGATACTGGGAGAGAACCCAGTGCCCGACTCCACATCAGGTCTCCGGTGCCCTCCCCTGGCTGGCAGCGCTGGGCTAGGATGGGGGTTTTGGGGTCTGTGAGAGAGCAGCCCCAGGACAGCCGAGAGAGGGTGCAGCCCCCACAGTCCTCTCCCCGGCTGTCTCTCCTCCCCCCAGCACAGCCAGCATCTGCTGGCTCATCCAGCTTGGCATCTGCTCGCCAGGGGGGTGCATCCTCCAGGTCTGCGCGCGGCAGCCAATCCGTGTGGGTCTGCAGCAACCCCAGTTCTGGCCTCCCCCCAAGAAAACACTCGATGGAGGGGTATACGGCAGAAGGAGAGACTGAGGCACGTTTTAGGGCAGGAGTGATCGTTTATCATAAAGCTTTAGAGGCTGGGCGCAGTGCCCACGCCTGTAATCCCAGCACTGTGGGAGGCTGAGGCAGGTGGATCGCTGGAGATCAGGAGTTCGAGACCAGCCTGGCCCATGTGGTGAGACCCTGTCTCTACTAAAAATAGAAAAATTAAGGCCGGGCACGGTGGCTCAAGCCTGTAATCCCAGCACTTTGGGAGGCCGAGGCGGGTGGATCACGAGGTCAAGAGATCGAGACCATCCTGGTCAACATGGTGAAACCCCGTTTCTACTAAAAATACAAAACATTAGCTGGGCGTGGTGGCGCGCGCCTGTAATCCCAGCTACTCGGGAGGTTGAGGCAGGAGAATTGCCTGAACCCAGGAGGCGGAGGTTGTGGTGAGCCGAGATCGCGCCATTGCACTCCAGCCTGGGTAACAAGAGCGAAACTCCGTCTCAAAAAAAAAAAAAAAAGAAAGAAAAAAAAAGAAAAATTAGCCAGGTGTGGTGGTGGCGGGCACCTGTAACCCCAGCTACTCAGGAGGCTGAGGCAGGAGAGTCGTTTGAACCTGGGAGGTGGAGGCTGCAGTGAGCCGAGATTACACCACTGTACTCCAGCCTGGGTGACAGAGTGAGAACCTGTCTCAAAAATACTACTAATAAATAAATAAAAATAAGCAGCTTTAGAGCGGGAACCAAATGAAAGCAACTACACGTGGAAAGGGCCCAAGCAGGCAACTTGAAAGACAAGTTGTGTGTGTGTGTGCATGTGTGCGTGTGTGTGTGTGTGTGTTTAGACGAGGTCTCATTCTGTCGCCAGGCTGGAATGCAGTGGCGAGATCTCGACTCTGCAACCTCTGCCTCCCAGGTTCAAGCGATTTTCCTGCCTCAGCCTCCGAAGCAGCTGGGATTACAGGCATGCACCACCACACCCAGCTAATTGTGTATTTTAGTAGAGACGGGGTTTCACCATGTCGGCCAGGATGGTCTCGATCTCTTGACCTCGTGATCTGCCCGCCTCAGCCTCCCAAAGTGCTGGGATTACAGGCGTGAGCCACCGCGCCCGGCCACAGTTTGACCTTTGACTTGGGGCCTCATAGTTTGGAATGGTTCCTGGGTCTCTCGTCCCTTCTCCCGTGATTCCGCCCATGCGTGGGCTGTCTGCACGTGCAGGGGCCTGCTGGCACTTGGGAGGGGACCGTGTGTGGTGCGTTTGCTGGAGTTGTGCGTGTCCTCACTTTAGGAGCTCTCTGTGACCAGCGCACGTGCCCTGAAGGTCACGGGCCAGTTACACTCCGCCGGTCACCTCTTAGTGTGCCTGCCCCCACCTGCTCACCGGCTCCCGAGACCTTCCCGGGAAGCGGCCAACACCGGGTTCAGGTGTTTGCTGCCTATTGGGAGCCGGCTGTAACCAATTATTATTTTAGTGACGCAGTTAACAACCGCCCGACCGTCACCTGATGGTCACCGACACTCCTGGTGTGCGGGCTGTGGAGCCCTCTCCTGCCCTGCCCATGCCTGACCAGCTGCTTCTGTCACAGGCCCTGCAATCACGAGTGACCAGCAGGACACGCTCCCGTGACCCACAGCCACAGCAGTGAGTGTTTCCCGCCTGAGATCTCCTTTCCCTGGAAACCCGGGTCAGCACCACCCAACCCACTCGGTCTGGCTCCTGGTCTCTCTCGGTCCCTGTCTCTTGCTTCCTCCCTCCCCGTGGACACCCTGACTTCCCCTCGGCCTTCCACCACCGGCCCCGCCCCCGTGGGAAGCTCCGGAGGCGTCCCCAGAAGCCAAGCAGATGCTGATGCCATGCCCCTGCAGCCTGCAGAACCACAACCAGTTCAACCCCTTTCCCCCTTCCCAGGCTGGAGTGCAGTGTCACGATCTCGGCACACTGCAGCCTCCACCTCCCAGGTTCAAGCAATTCTCCTGCCCCAGCCTCCTGAGGAGCTGGGATTACAGGCACCCGCCACCACACCTGGCTACTTTTGTATTTTTAGTAGAGACGGGGTTTCTTTATGTTGGTCAGGCTGGTCTCAAACTCCTGACCTCAAGTGATGCTGGGATTACAGGCGTGAGCCACCGCACCTGGCCTTCCTATCCCTTCTCTTCTCCTCCCCTCGCCTCTCCCCCCTCCCCTCTCCTTTTCCCAGGCCATTACTGTCACCAGTAGCATGATCTCAGCTCATTCAAATGCCACCTCCCAGGCGCAAGCCATCCTCTCCTCAGCTTCCCATGTAGCTGGGACTACAGGCGTGCCCAGCTAATTTCTTTTCTTTCTTTCTTTCTTTTTTTTTTTTTTTTTTTTTTTTTTTTGAGATGGGGTCTCGCTCTGTTTCCCAGGCTGGAGTGCAGTGCCGTGATTTTGGCTCACCGCAACCTCTGCCTCCCCGGTTCAAGCGATTCTCCTGCCTCAGCCTCCCGAGTAGCTGTGATTACAGGCGTGCACCACCAAGGCCACCTGATTTTGTATTTTTAGTAGAGACAGGGTTTCTCCATGTTGATCAGGCTGGTCTCAAACTCCTGACCTCAGCTGCCGGCCTCCACCTCCCAAAGTGCTGGAATTACAGGTGTAAGCCACCGCACCACGCCTAGTTTTCTAATTTTTAGCAAAGATAAGGTCTCACTGTGTCACCCAGGCTGGTCTCAAACTCCTCAGCTCAAGCAATCCTGCCTCAGCCTCCCGAAGTGCGGGGATTACAGGTGTGAGTCACTGCCTGCACAGAGGCCAGACATGGTGGCTCACGCCTGTAATCCCAGCACTTTGGGAGGCTGAAGCGAGAGGATCACTTGAGATCAGGAGTTTGACGCCAGCCTGGGCGACACAGTGAGATCCCATCTCTTTTTTTTTTTTCCCTTGAGATGGAGTCTCACTCTGTTGCCCAGGCTGGAGTGCAATGGCGTAATCTCGGCTCACTGCAGCCTCCGCCTCCCGGGTTCAAGCGATTCTCCTGCCTCAGCCTCCTGAGTAGCGGGGACTACAGGCACGTGCCACCATGCCTGGCTCATTTTTTTGTTTTTTTGTTTTTTTGAGACAGAGTTTCGCTCTTGTTACCCAGGCTGGAGTGCAATGGTGCAATCTCGGCTCACCGCAACCTCCGCCTCCTGGGTTCAGGCAATTCTCCTGCCTCAGCCTCCTGAGTAGCTGGGATTACAGGCACGCGCCACCATGCCCAGCTAATGTTTTGTATTTTTAGTAGATACGGGGTTTCACCATGTTGACCAGGATGGTCTCGATCTCTTGACCTCACGATCCACCCACCTCGGCCTCCCAAAGTGCTGGGATTACAGGCGTGAGCCACCGCGCCCGGCCTATTTTTTTGTATTTTTATGAGCGACAGGGTATCACTATG